TCCAAGGCAGGGTGGAACATGGCAGAGGGCAACAGTTCATGGCAGCAGAAGATAGCAAAACCAACAAGAACAAAGGGAGGAGCAGCAGCAAGCACCTCTTTCCCTCCCTTACATTGTACACAAACTACCTGCCCAAGGGTGGGTGTGGTACCCACACCCATAATCCCAGCACTGGACCATGAGTCAATCATAAACTCTAGAATCCCACCCCATAACTGCCTGAGGCTTTGGGGGGACATCCAGACGTAAACTACAATACTCAGTATCCAGGATAGGGCTTGGTGAGGTATGTAAACTCGAGCTCCTTCACAGAGAGCTGGTGGCAGTAGTGATATAAGCAGTGCCTGGTGTGAAACCTGGTTTCTCCAGAGTTCTGTGTTTACCAAGGCCCCCTTATTTAACTCTAAGGAAAAAGAGACACATAGAATGTCACACTCAGAGCTGTCTTCATTTCATATCCTGAGAATGCAGGAGAAATTAACTGCGTCCTATATGACTTCCTGCCCAGATCCACGGGTGATCAGGGAGCTTTGAAGTAATGGCTTTGTTAAGTTCCTCAGCCTCCTTAGGGAGAAGTAATGATTTAAAATCTGTCCTAACAGTACTAATGCTGTCTGGCTTCTTAATCATCCTAGAAAATGTGTAGCTACAGAGGAACCCCTTGCGATTTCTGTGATGATTTCCTAAAAACATAAGAAATCTAGCTTCCCTTCACAGAAATATTCAAACAGACGGAGTTCAAAATCATTTAGCATTTCCAAATGCACTTCAGGAAATTATCTCAATAAATTGAAGTTACATAAGTAAAAGTCGTGAGTCGCACACTCAGGGTGCTGTGAAGTGCTCGAGCAGCGGTGAGCCGAGCCCCTCATCACATACACGCGGAGGGAAGCCAGGTGAAAGATGAGTACCGCGTGGGTTATAAATAGAATCCTAAAATTGATGGTGAAACTATTTGCAGAACGTGGAGCAGCCTGGCCGCGCTATTCTGGCTCAAAGCTGGCTGCTGCAGCCGTAAGGATCCCGTGAGTCCTACAGTTATTTTTGCTCTTAGCAGAGGCAAAACGTGTTCAATCTTTTGAAGGAAAATAAATTTGCTGGTGCTTTAAACAGCTTAATTCGGCACTGGTGGAGAAAGAAATGAGAAGGACCTGCTCCTCCGGCCACAGCAGAGGGCCGTGCAGCCTCTCCCTGGTGGGCTTTATGGGCTTCCTGACCTACTTCCGTGATCTGGAAATGCAGCTCGCCAGCTCCCCTCCCAGCGGAGCGGCTTTCCTGGCAGGCACTGCAGGCTTTTCTTCCCCTCCTCATCGCCTGTCTCAGTCTGGAGCTCTAGCTCCCTGACTCTGTGGCCACCGCGTGGTTTCCCAGGGAAGGGTCCTGCTCATGCAGGGAACAGGGAAACCCATCCCCTGCGTGCAGTGACCTGCTCCAGGCACAGGACACGTGCAAACCCGTCCCACACCATCGCGTCTCGGAAACTGTCCCAGCTTCGGATCTGTCCCGCTTGTCCTGGGATTCTCCACACAGCTGCCCCCTTAGCCCTTTCATTCTCATACTATTTCTTTATAAGTAAATCACTCCCCGCACACCTGCAGATGCACAAAGCCCTTGGTCCAATACAAAAACACAAAAACAAAAGAAAATCTGGCTAAAACCCGTTGAGGACTCTTCCGAAATACCCCCGCAGCCAGGGATCATGCTGGATCCCTGATAATTTCAGAGAGGGTTTGAAGCACACTGCCCTGTGATAGGATGCTAGAGAGAGTGGTTACATTTCCTAGCATTGCCTTTCCTTCAGCACTCTTCTGGAGTGAAATAGAAGACAACCTTAGGAAAGATGGTATCTGCGGTTTTTAGTTTGTTTTTAAGCAGTCTTACTGAGGTCTGTTTGACATAAAAGCTGTACATATTTCACACACATGCACAGACAAGATTTTCATTTTCTATCACCACCATAACAAACCAACACAAACCTGATAGTGTAAGTCAACGCAGAATCTTACCATTGTACAGTTTCACTGGGTTAGAAAACTGGCTCAAAGTTGGGCATGGTGGTGCATGCTTGTCAACCCAGGGCTCAGAAGGCTGAGACAGGAGAATCACTGTGAGTTCAAGGCCAGCCTGGGAAACATAATGGATTCAAAGCCAGCCTGAACTACATAGCAGGAGACTGTGTCAAAAAAAAAAAAAGCAAACAAACAATTATAAACAAATCTGACTGGCGTTGTATTCCAGTGATGTCTGGGTAGCAGCAGGGTGGCAGATGTCTTTAGGTCTTCAGTCTTGATCTCTAATTCTTATCTGAATCATCTACCAATGTGTTTAATGATCAGCTACCCTTCAGCCAGCTTGCCGTGAGGAGCTGGCCTGATAGGATGAACTTGGAGTTGAATGACACCATGAACCTATGCCTGGCTCTGTGAGTGACGACAGAAGAACTCAAAATTCTAAGCATAGGCCTCGTGTAGAACAACCCTCCTCCTCCCCTAACCAAAACACATGTGGTTATTTGAGAACTCACAGACACATCGACCCACTTTGGACTGAGACTCATTTACATGGCGTAGCTTCAACCACGGAGAAAGGATCACAGAGCTGTAACAAAGCCCTTCTTGTTGTGAGCAACATGAATGTTGACATGCAAATCAAACATGATTCTACCTAGTTAAAATAATTCAGAAGATACATGTTTTAAAGCACCTACCAATACTGATTTCAGATATAAAAAGTTCAGAAAGTTCGTGAAGCTGGATTTTTGAAAGTAGAATTTACTTTTCCTTTGTGCATTCTTTTAAACAAAGAGGTGTGCGACCTGTAGAATTCTAACATAATCTCACCAGGAAATACAGAGGGGTGATTCAGCGTGTCTGGGGTTGGCTCTGCCTCTCTGTCAGCATCACTGCCCTGCAAATCTAAGCAAACAGGCAAATCGGAGCAGCGCGCTTCCCCTGCTGAAGCTGATTTCAAACAGTGACATGCACACTATTGCACTTGGTTAGAGGCAAGCTTTGGCTTTTAACTTCAAGTGGAACCTACACATTTTAAAACCTGACCCTTAAATTTGAGCACTGATATCAGAAAGCTGGGTCCCATGTGGCATGTGCGGCTCTTTCTCCCCCAGAGATTAGAATAAGCAGCACAAAGCTCAACAGAATCACCCAGTTCTCACAAATCCTGTGCATAGCAATGCGATTCCCAGCTTGAACAGGGAGCTGCTGTGCTTCCAGATGAGCCCTAAAGGGCGCCAACAGCTGACCAGGCTTCTGCTGAAAGCAAATTGGCTAGACCTTCGCACAGCCCTGCACTAATGAACATGCTGTTGAACGTGGACTTGGCGTCTGAAGTGCAGCATAATTACACCATGCAGACTCACATGTGAGTCCAGCCACGTGGAAAATGTACTGAGGACACACTTCCACCTGCATCTCCCTAACCTCCTCACCTGCTTAAAATAGAGGAGCCAGGCCTCCGAATCCACAGATTGCACACCACCAGTTCAACTAGCTGTGGATGGAATACGGTGAACAAAAATTGGTCTTACTCAATATCTACACAGTTTTTCTTGTCACTCTCTAAATGAAAGAGCATACCGACTATTTGCATAACACTTACATCCTACTAAGTATCATAAGCAACCTAGAGATTATGTAAAATGCACAGGAGGGCATGTATTCCTTAGTTTACACACACACACACACACACACACACACACACACACTCTCTGCCACTTATATAAGGGATGTGGGCATCTGTACATTTTGGTGACCATGAAGGTTCCTGGACTCAGCACCCTATGGACAACAAGGGGCAGCAATATTTTTAGATGCATTTTACGGATTAGAAATTGAGTTTCATAAAACATGACCAGCTCTGGGGTCTCCTAGCACAGAGTGAAGGGCCTGGCTGTCACCACTGCCAAGAGCCTGACCTGGGGGCTGTTCAGAAGCTGTAGGGCAGGAAGAGAGTTTGTAGTTTGTAAATAATTCCCAGGAAAGACGGAACACAAGTGAAATAGTCCTAGCCCCTCATGGAGGGCGTAGCCATTTCTCAACAGATTGGTCTCAATGTCTCTCCCATTACTGAGCTTTGGTAGCTGAGCGCTGTGTAACATCTAGTCTTCAGCATATAGTGTGATTCCAAAACTTTCTCTTTGTAGCAATATCTAGTGATCATAATAGGGTATATTGTATTTTTCCTATATTTTTCTAATAATCAAATATTACTAATATTACACAGGATCGGGGCCAGTGATGCTCTAGCAGAGTGGATCCCTTGTTTCTCCCGGGCACATGTTCTTTATCATCTGAAAAGACTTCTCTCCATGCTGGCCATAGCAGGAACAAGGCACTCAGCTGTCTCTGAGACTTAATCTAGACTGTCTAGAGTAGACTGGATATACGAACAGCTTAATAGATTACTGTACCTTCTTTTAAAACATTAGTACGCTGTTTTATTAAAACAATTTTATTCCATTTCAAATCTCGCTGATAGTTCTCACCGTCTATCTCACAAATGCTCGAGGTTGGTAGACAGTGCTCTGGCTGGGGATTCTACAGACCGCTGGACACAGGGCGTACCACAGATCGCAAGACACAGCTTGCTCCACTCTACTTCAAGTTAATAGAATTGTCAGATGTCCAAATGGAGAAAGGCAGGGGTTTTCACTTGTCTGCTTCTTTTTTGAAGTGATTCGTTGTGATGGAGGTCCTGAGGAGAGGAAATAAGAGATCGGAAGAGTATCTTCCCCCATCCATCATTATTAAAGCAGAATCCAAATGTCAATTGTTTTTGTCACATTTCTTCAGGCATAAAGATAGCACTTATATGTGGGAAAAGATAAAATTATCCAAATTATGTTAAGATTTAAAGGCAGCTGGTACCTGGCCTCTGTTTTAAGCATCTGAGATGCAAACTGCCAGCAATGTGATCGTAGCGCAGGTTTGACTAGGACACTTGCTCTGCTGGCTCACGAGCCCTTCCCCTCTGTGTCTGTGCAGGCTGACCGGCATGAACCTCCCCTCCCCCGTCATCAGCAGCAAGAACTGGCTGCGGCTGCACTTCACATCCGACAGCAACCACCGGCGCAAGGGCTTCAGCGCTCAGTTCCAAGGTAAGACGCTCCGCCCCAACAGAAAGGAGAGCGGAGAGCGGAGGGCGGGGACACCTCGGCTTTCTAACCCTGACGTGTCGGATCTTGCTAAGGTAGAAAAACAGAAAAAAAACACTCACTTGAAAATGTGTTCTTTATGTTTTATGAGCCGCTGTTTGGGAAATTACAGAGGCAGCAATGGCAACTCATGAATAAGTTAATAAGTGTAGCACCATGACCGTACTCGGAGTAGATTCCTGTTTTGCTGAGGTGTTGCTACGTTTTACTCAATAAATATGTATTAGGAATACTAATTTGTTTCCTAATTTAATTTGTTTGCACCAACCAGCAATTATCCACAATGGTCTGGATATTGTCTTTATTCATACACTGAAAGTGGTATCATAAAAATTCATGGAAATATACAAGTACATCATAGTATCATTTTTAGTCCTAAAATGTCCCTGTGTATAAAAATCCACCTGAGTTA